CATTAAGCTTCCTCTCATGTTTCTTTCTCTGTTTCTGAAATATTCCAGCTGGGACACCAGAGTGGAAAGAGAAATAGAGTCTCTGAGACAAGAGAGAGGGTGAACAACAAGTTACAAGGGGATTAAGGACCAGGTTATGGTTCTCTCCTTGTCCACTGCTCCCCAGAAAGAAGAGGGAACATCCCAGATGGAAGCAGAGTCTGCAGAGCCTCTTCCACCTCCTCCTGCTGCAGCAAAGCCTCGGCAGGGCCCAGCTGGCCCCAGGTGCTGCAGGAGCAGATGATCCTCTCACACCAGCTGTGAATTCCTGACGAGTTCACCGGATGACACAAATTGCCAAAGCACTGAGCTAATGGGAACGTTTTCTTCCCAGCAAAGCCTCCCCCTGATCCTCTGTGGAAGGTCAGCAGCTGGATCTGCAGCGACCCATCACCCTGCGAGTAACGATGACCTGACCAACATCAGGAGCTCCACAAGTAACTCCAGCTGCTCCCCAGCCTGGGCCTTGGAGCCCACTGGAGCGTCTGAGCCTCCCACGGCAGAGCTCCCAGAACTTGGGCTTTTAGAGCTCTTTTTTAAGCTGTTCCCTGTGGGAGTTTCTACCTTCCAGACTCACTTTGTCGAGGGACACCAGAGAACTCTCACCTTCCACACACAGAGCCATGGAAATCCATGCCCAGCTTCCCAGTACAGAGCCATTCTTTCCTTTTTTTTTTTTTTTTCTCCCACAAAGTAGGACTAAGTGAAGCAAAGGAAACACCTCCCACTCAACACCCCCAACTTCTTACGGCATCTCGAAATTCCTTGGTGGGTATTCATCCAAAAACGGCCCCGATTCAACCCAGTTTCACTTATCCACTGTGACAGGGACACAGCAGGAGACAGCACGGGCACAGACCCCGCTCCGAGCTTTTCAGAGTCATTACTTATTAAATGCTGAGGAATAAAGTGAGCTGTTTTGAGCACTTCCACTGCCCTCGGGCTCATTATCCTCGCTGCCAACTGGCCACCGTGCCCGGCTCAGGCTGGCACAGATGAAGCAGCCACTGCTGCCCCAGACTCTTGGCCTGTTTCTGCACAGAGGAAATGCCCCACACATCAGTTATGAGGGGAAAAAGCAGCAAGTAGGTACCGAGAGCCAGGGAGAGTCACAGGCCCTGGCACAGGTTGCCCAGAGAAGCTGTGGCTGCCCCGTCCCTGCAAGTGTCCAAGGCCAGGCTGGACAGGGCTTGGATAGTGGAAGGTGTCCCTATCCATGGCAGGGGGTGCAACTGGATGGGTCCCTTTTTAAGGTCCCTTCCCGCCCAAATCATTCCATGATTGGGTAGAAAAATAGGTCAAATGTTTCAGTATCACATTTCAGAGGAGTTTGTGCCAATAATTCTGTGGAGGCTCATGAAAAAGTGACAGGAAGTGGCTTCCCTCTGACCTCCCCTGGAGGAGATTCCCCTGCTTCCAGCTGGAGCTCTGTGCCTGGAACAGCAGCTGGACCTTTTATTGCTGACACCAGCCCTCACACCTCATCCCCTTCCCTGTCACACCTCAGGATTTACAAATCACTGAGCAGCTCTCACCTCACCTTAACTGTTCCCATCCCTCTCTACCTCCCACAGCTACAACAGCTCACGAGGAATTACGAGCTCCTTCCTCACTGCTTTAAATCCTCCTCAAATCCTCTTCTGCCCTGGCTTCACAGGAGGGATCAGAAACCTGGGCTGTCCCTGATGCTCTTGGTGAGCTGAGGAAACCCCAGCAGGGTTCAGCCCTTTGAACCCTACCTTGAACCTGCCCCAGCCCCACAGCTCCAACCTCCCTCTGTGCCAGGGGCCATCCCAGCACCTCGGGAGTGCTGAGAAACCCTCACAAATAACAGATTTAGAACCTCAAACTTCCCGTCCCCTTCTCCACACAGACCTCCGGGATCTCAGCACGTACCGACAGCACACGAGAGCTTTGAAACATCCACAAATCACGAAAATAACAGGGATAATCTGCCAGCTGGAAGCTGCAGCCCATTGTTTTCCCATCAGAGCTGCCTGGAACGACCCACTTGAGAAACACTTAAGGAACACGTGTTCAAGGACTCACTGCAGAGCTGGAGTGGTGATGGGCCATGTCCGGGTGACAGTGACAACTCTGCTCCAGTGGGAAGGGTGCCTTGTAACGCCCTGCAGCAGCTTGATTACCCCACAATCCAGATTTCCTTCTAAATTTAAGCCAAGAGCAGTTGGGAGGCCACAGAGCAGCCCAGGACACAGCTCATGGCCCCTGTTCAGCAGGTTTTAAGGAGGGGCTGTGGGGAGGAGCCAGACCAGTTGCCCTGGGATTGGCACATCCCAGGAACTCATCACACCTGGGATGGGCGTGGTGCAGCCCCGGCTAATCCATCCCCCTGGGATTCCCCCAAGGACTCGTCCAGGAGTCCCTCTGGTGGAAAATGCCTTGAAACAAAGCTTGGCTGAGAGTTGGGGGTGTCCCTTCTGTCCCCAAGAGCCCTGAGGTGACACTGCAGGTGCCACAGCCCCACGTTGTTTCCACAGGAGGATGGGCACGAGCCCAGCCCGTGGGTGCTGCCAGCCCTGTGTCTCTCGAGGCAGGAAAAATACCTGGAAAGATGACATTTCCCTCTGACAGGGAAAACTTTGAGGATCCCAAAATGTTATTAACAGGCCCAACCTCGCCTCAAAGGAGCAGCTGTTTGGAAATGATCCCTGGGCTCAGCAATGCCTGGCTTGGATGAGGGACGAGAGGGAAATCCCCGGGGATCCGGAGGGGAGCGTGCGAGCGGCTGAACCGCCGAGCTCTGAACCACAGGCACAGGAAGTGCTGCCGTGATTTTTAGCTCTGCTTGACTTTCCTACCCACTGAAATCAAATTTCCTCCTGCCCAAGCCCAGTGACCACATGTCCTGCCCAGCAGCTTCCCTAGAACCACCGGCACTGTGGGATTAGGGAGCGCTGTGCAAGCAGCGAACGGGGATGGTTCGTTATTGGCAGCATTGTGGCTGGAAATGGGTGTTTCTGGAGGGAAAATAAAGAAATAAAGTCCCCGAGTGAAAGGCCGGTGATGAAGTGTAGCCCGGCTCTAATCCCAGTGTAAACACTGCCATCGCTCCTAATTATTGATAAACATTTTTCTAATTGTGGAAATTAAACAATTAGACATCCTTCCTTCCCTCTTGGAAATCTAATCAGCCCAAAGTTCAGGATGCAGCCTGGAGCTGCCGCTGCAAAACACGCTGCACTCACAGGCTGGGAAAAAGCAGGCTGCTCCCAAAACCTTCTCCCAAAACCCTTCTCCCAAAACCCTTCTCCCTAAAGCCTTCTCCCAAAATGCCCCCCAAAGCTCCCCCAGCCCTGGCCCCGTTGTTGGGAGGACAGATCCATGGGCAAGGTGTCAGATATCCTGGAGGTTTCCCAGGAGCGCTGCTCTATCCCTGCATTCCCAGGGATTTCAGGGCCAGGCAGGCAAAGAGCCGTCCCCGCCAGGAGGATTCAGGTCGTAGCTCTTGCCCCAGTGACACATTTCCCTCCATCCTGGAGAGGAGAGCAGGGAACGGACGGGCAGAGCTCCTTGGAAGTTAATAACGGAGATTTACCGGCGCGGGAACGCCGAGGAAGGAGGTCACGCTGCTAATGCTCCTGCTGCTGATCCCTGCGGATAAATCCGCATCAGGAACGGATTACCCCGAGAGGGGGATTAAGGGGGATGATTCTAATTCCTCGCTGAAGGAGAAGTGTTTTTAACGCTGAGCCCCTCACAGCCACAGACGCCGAGCACTGGCTCCCGCTCCCGGCAGGATCTGACCCACAGGACCTTTCTGTTGGAAAGAGGGGATGAGAAAAATCCCTCCTTGGGATTTGAGCCTCCATCAGGCTGCAGTCCCACACCCCCACCACCCCAAGATCCCCCAACACCCGGGCTCAGCCACAGGCACCTGAAAATATCCCTCTAATCCCAGTTTTCAGTTCTTCCTCATTCCTTGTCACACCTGATTAAATATCCAAAAGTACTGACAGCCTAAATCCAACACAATTCCATCCATCCCATACCAAGTTACTTTCCCAAAGCTTACTGCAGACTTTTATGAGGTTTCTTATACATTTTATCCCCCGTACACCCACATGGACCAGCAGCTGTTCCACAACCAGCCAGACTCCTGGAATGCATCTCCTTTCCCCCCCATGCTCGTTAGCGTGGGCTGTAACGAGCCCCATGGTTTCCATCCGAGTAATTCCACAGGCAGGATCTGGGAATTATCAGGCACCGGAGCAGGGCTGGCCCTGGAGCACTTGGTGTCATCCAGTCCCATGGGGGGACACCGGCAGCACTCCAGGGGGATGAGGTGGCAGCCGGGGCCACGTGTCCTGCGTGTCCCCCAACCCTTCCCAGCTGCTCCCGGAGCCGCAGGGGGAGGATCCCCAGGGAGGGACCGGAGCAGGGGACAGGAGCCATCTGCTCCAGAGCCCGGGGTCTGCGTCTGGAGACAGAGAGTGACAAACAGGGTTAATGTCCCGTGAGCAGGAGCTGTCACTCTGTGTTAGGGTCTGGCTTCCACCTTCCACAGCGCAACATTCCAGCAGGGATCACACGGGAAGAGGTACCGGCAAACCGGGACAGGACCGCGACCAGAGAGGCCACTCTGGTGGGACTGTGGTGTCAGGAAGGGCCTATCCCTCCTGGCTGTCATGGTCCTGCTCCCGGGCTCTGCTCCAGTGGGACAGGAGGGCAGGGAGCGGAGCAGGGCCCTGGGAAACAACCCCACGGGGTCCTGGTGACTCAGGGACCGACCGGCGCCGTGCCAGCGACCTGAGCCGAGCACGGGGTGTTCATTATTGAAGGCTGAGGCAGAGTTACCACGGGCACCAGGTGTCCTGTTTCTGCCAGCACCAGCCCAGGAGGACATCGGCTGTCACGGGCACCTCTGTCCTCCCTGTGCAGCTTCACCGGGGCCCAGTGACCCACAGACACAAACACACACCAGCACGCGCCGGGCCCGCTCCAAAGGAACAGCCAATTTATTGTCGTATAAAGTGAGAACGTAAAAGGTCCCTTAAACCAAACACGGATGGGTCAGGCGGTCCCGGTGGCCCCCACACTGCCCGGGGGGAGCAGCCCAGGGGGGCCTTGGGGGGTCCCCCCAGCCCCTCTTGTCCGCAGCCGGTTGTAGAGGGGGAAGGAGCTGCCGTGGGGCTGCGGGGATGCCTGGATGGGAGCTGGGGCCGAGGCGTTTGTGCGTTGCAGAGCTCCTGGTCTGCGCTGGAATTAGGCACTTGTGGAAGGGTGCGGGCGCTGCTCCCGGCCAGCTCCATCCCACGGCTCCCCATGGCACTGGGAGGACGGGCAGGGGCCGGGGCCGGAGCCCTGCCTGTGCCAAAACACACTGCCCGCACCAGGGGCTGAGGCTGGGCCAGGTCTGACCCGGTACAGAGGAGGTTCAAGCAGCTTTGGTTGGTGCTCTTGGTGAATTAAGGCAATTTATCTTCAGTTGGTTTAAAAAAAGGCCAAAACCAGCAAAAACCAGCTCTCCCAGGGGCCAGACATGTGGGTGGAAGAGTCTGGGTCTGCTCTGGCTTTGCTCTGAGTCGCCACTTGGACCCTGCACACCTAAAGGTGGGCACTGACCCCCTCCTGTGCCAGCCCTGTGCCCAGCCTTGCCTCCACCACTGCCACAGGGAACCTGCAGCCCAATACTGGAAGTGCCCAGAAGGGACTCTGGAGCTTTTTTAGGGGAGATTCAGGCTCCTGCCAGTGGTGCGGGAGTGGGGAGAGGGCAGAAGAGCCGCAGCGGCTCCTTCCATCCCATTTCCCATCACAGTGACTGGTCGGCAGCTTGTGAGGTGGGAGCTCCCCTCTGGCAGCCGAGGGGAGCAGGGGGTGAGGGTGCTGCAAACACCCCCCCTGTGGTCCCTGGGGAGCACTGAGGGGAAACTGCTCCCCCTGACATCCCAGCAGGGCTGTACCTACTGCCTGGACCCCTCAGTTCCCCTCCATCAGCACCCACAACCCTTGGTGGCCCCAGAGGGCTCTGCCCTGGGGAGCTCATTCCCCATTTGGTTCTTATTCCCCACATTCCAAGGGGGAAGGCTCTGGGTTCGCCCACCAGTGATCCCTTCTCTGGGTGGGGACCCCACACCCCTTGCCCCACCTGGCCTGGGGTGCTGGGAAGGGAGCAGGGAGCAGCAGGGGCTGAAATGGGAGATGGGGTGGCACAACCCACACAAGAGCTGGAGCTGGAGCTGCCTCTGGCCTCTCCCAGCCGGGGTGTCCCCAGTTCCTGTCCCATCCTTTGGTCCCACTGGCTGCAGTCACAGCCCGTGACCCCCCAGGGTCGGTGACCCAGCACGGCACTGCCCTCACAGCCCTCCTGCTCCTTCCCACTGCCCTCCCACCAGGGAGCCAGGCCCAGGCCAGCCTGTGAGGGGTGGAAACACCGATTCCGTTAATGCCCCAAGGGATCTCTGCAAAGGAAATACAAAAGTTTTACATGAGGTCCAAATGTCCAGGTCAGTTGGAGCAATGGCCACGTGCCAGGGGGATGCTCCAAGTCCTCCATAACATGGGAGGACACTGTGGATGCTCCGTGCTCACGGCTGATATCCATCCCTGGCCACAGCCACCAGAGCCAGGGACTCACCGGCCGCAGCTCCCGCTGCCAGGAGGAGAACGGGGCAAATCCACGAGTATCTCTGTGCGACGCCGGTGGCTGTGACGGCTCCTGCTGCCACGAGCGGCTGTTCCCCGGCCCTGTGTGTCCCCGTGTCCCGCAGGATGCCGGTGCTCACACCACAGTGCTGATGGTGGATGACTCCTCCGAGCGCCGCTGTTTGCTGGGCAGCGACTTGAGGTACTCCAGGTGCCTCCGGGCGTCCTCCTGGTTCTGCCGCACGTAGTACACCAGGTAGGAGATCACCATGGCGAACCAGCCGAACATGGTGACCAGCATGGCGATGTCCGTGGTCTTCTTGTACACGTTGCAGAAGTCCGTGTCGGCGATGACCTGCAGGAAGGCTTTGCCCACGTGCTCCTCCTGCGCCGAGGAGTCGCAGACGATGCCGCCCGAGGAGCCGGCCACCAGCTCCACGGTGCGGATCAGCTCCTGCAGCCGGCAGTCACACAGCCACGGGTTGTTGGACAGGTTCACCTTGGCCTTCAGGTTGCTGAAGGCGTCTTTGCTGACCGACACCAGCCTGTTGGAAGACAAGTCCAGGGAGTGCAGGTGCTCTGCCAGGCCCCGGAAAGCCCCGCTCTCCACGCTGGCGATGGCGTTGTGGGACAGGTCCAGCTCCAGCAGGAGCGGCAGGTCCCGGAAGGCGTCGCGGGGCAGGAAGGGGATGCGGTTGGAGTCCAGGTAGAGCTTGTTGGTGTCGTTGGGGATGTCTCTGGGGATCTCGGTCAGCCGAGCGTTGCTGCAGCGGAAGGTCTTCAGCCCCTCCTCCTCCGAGGGGTAGCAGCCCTTGGGGAAGGCGGTGGCCGGGCGGAGGCAGCAGCCCAGGAGGAGGAGGAGGAGGAGGAGGAAGAGGCTGTGCAGGAGCAGCCCCATGGTGACCGGGCGGAGGAGGACCCGCTCTGCCACAGGCATCGTGCGGTGCTGCCTTTGCCTTCCTCACACCCCCGGGGGCTTCAGCTGGACTCGGCACATCTGAGAGGGGATAGCAAGGGGACAGCGTCAGGCCAGGGGGGTCAGGGGCAGAACCGTCACTGTGCTGGCTGTGGGTACTGCACCTGACCCTGGCCAGGGGACAGGGACGAGGATGGGGACCGGGACAGCCGTCACGGCTCACGCATCCCCCCATCCCCGGCCAGCACCTCGCTCGGGGCTCCTGCGAGGCAGGATCAGGTCCCAGGGCCTGAGCACGTCTCCCGCGCCGGCAGCTGGGCTGTAACAACCGGAGACGCTCGGGCTGAGCCAGAGGCGGGGGTGAGATCCCGCCCTGCCAAGGTCACGGCGCTGCGATCGCTGCTCGCAGGAGGCCGATCCATCCTGCGGCGGCCGGAGGACGCACCAGTGCGAGCCCTGGCTCCGGGCGAGCGGCCGCTGCCGGCAGCCCCCGGGGAATGCCACGGAAAACATGTGCGGGCAGCGGCTCAGCAGGTTCCCGCTCCCGGCTCCGTTCCCCGGCAGCGCCCGGGGCACGGGAGGACGCGCGCCGGGTTCTCTCCTTTCGAGGTGACTGGCACGGGTGGGTGCCGGGTGCGCCTGTCCCCTGCCCGCTGCCGCCCCGGCCGTGGGGTCGGGCTGCCCACACCACCCCGTAACCCTGGGCCCCACGCAGCCCTTGATTCTGGAGGGGAAAAACGTCAGCAGGAAAGAAACAAAAACAGAAAAAGGAAATTCGCTGGAGCTGAGCGTGCAGTGAGTTCCCAGGGTAGTGGCAGCAGATAAGGGCCGTGTCCGAGGGCTCCGAGCGCTGCCCGGCTCTCCCAGCCCTGGCTCCCACCACGTCCAGGGGCCCCAGCCCGTCCCTGCGCCGGCCGCAGCGCTGGAGCCCCGGAGGGAGGATCCAGGTGCTCTCCCACCATCCCACAATCAAAGACATCGCCTGTGGCACCCGGTCAGGCAGCTCAGTGCTGCTGGTCACCAGGCACCTCCTGGGCAAAGCTGCTGCAGGTCCCACCTCCCCCCACTCCCCGGAGCATCCCAACGCCGGCAAACCCGTCTCGGGGTGTTGACTGGGGCTCCCCGGTGCAGGGTAGAGGCACCCACCCGAGGGTGGCCCCCAAAGCACAGCACCTCGAGCTCTGGGCACTGTCACCAAGCCCGGCCGCGCCGAAACACCCCAAGGTCACACCTGTGCAGAGCCGACCCCTGCTCTGTTGGAGCCCCGGGACCCGCGGGGGTCCTGAGCGGGCACCAGCGCTCAGAGCACCCCAGGGGCACCGGGACCCCACAGCCCCACACTGCACCAGCCCCCCAGGTCTGCCAGAGGTAACCCGGGACAAACGCAGCCCCCTGAGACCCCCCTCCCGCTGCCCGGGAACCGCCGGACTGAGCCGGGACCTGAAGCCCCGGGATGGAGCTGCTTCATCCACGGGACGGGGACACCACGGGATGCGGACCAGGCACTGCAGCGAGGACGAGCGCTGCCAGCCCCTTACCCACCGCGGGGTCCCCAGCCCGCAGCAGGGTGCGGGAGTCCCCAGCCCGACCCCGGTGATCGCCGTCAGCCTCGGGGAGGGCGGTTGGAGGTACCGGGGGCGGTGCGGGCGCCAGGACCCGCCGTGCGCCCGGGGATGCCCGGGGATCCCCCCGGCCCGGGGGCGTCGCGGGCGAGGGAAGCCCCGGTGCTTCCCCGGGGGAAGCTCCGCTCGGCGCGGCGCTGCCGCCCCCCCCTCGCCGCCTCTCGCCCGCGGCGAGGGGGTCCCGGTGCGGACTCACCTGCCTGTGCAGCCCCGGCGGCGGAGCGGCCCCGCGCCCCGGGCCGGAGCGGCCGCGCCCCGCGCAGCGCGGCGGGCCCGGAGCCGGCGGCGGCGGCGGGGCCGGTGGGCGGGATCCTCCGCCCGGGCCTCCCCGGGGCTCCCCGCCCCCGGCCCGCCCCGCCGGGGGGGCCGTGCAGCGCCGAGCACCCCCGGCCCCGCGCCCGCAGCCATCACAGCTCCCTCGCCCCGAGGGAGAGGAGCTGCCCCGGGTCCTCAGACCGGGAGGGGCGGGGGACACACCAGGAGACCCAGCGAGGAGCTGCCGGGACCCCCGAGCCCGGGGCAGCCGGTGTCAGAGGCTCTGGGGGTGCTTCACGCCCCCCGCCCTGCCGAGTCCCCCCAAACCTCAGTAGGAGACCCCTCGATCCCGACCGGCCCCCCCCGGGCGCTCCGCGCCCCCAGCGCTGCCCTCGCTTCCCCCCTGGACCTTCCCGCCCCCTCTCCAGCTCCTCGGAGGGAGCAAGACCCCCCCCAGTCCCACCCCGACGGGGTCACCGTGCCCCCCCGCCCGGCACCGGCATCGCTTACTCGGGGAAACCCGACCTGCGGCGGCGGCACCGGGGGGGGCGGGAGCCGGGGGGGGCTGGAGCGAGTCCCCAGACCAGCCCTGGACTGCCCGGGCCGAGGGTCGCTGGGCTGGGCCGGGCCTCGGGGTCCCGCCGCCCCGGGGCACCGGCGGGGCCTGCTCAGGACCATGGAGAGCGGCCGCCGTTACCGGGCCCCGGGGCCGCCGGCCGGGACGTGGCTGCCCCGGCCCCGAGCACTGACGTTCTCCCGCTGCTCCGGGAGTATAAACCAGTTAGGAGGCGCCTGGCCTGGATCTCGGCTCAATTAGGGGAAGGGAACCTGACGGCAGCCAGACACGGCCGCGGGCAGATGGTCCCCGGAGCCCCCCACACTCCACCGGGGCCATCGCGGGGGCTGTGACCCTGGACGCGATCAGAAAACGTGTGGATGTGGCACCTGAGGACACGGGTTAGTGGTGAAGGTGACAGTGCCGGGTTAGTGGTTGGAGTCGATGATCCTGGAGGTCGTTTTGATGATTCCATGACCCGAGCCAAACCCAACGCCGGAGCGGTGCTGGGCTCGCCGGGCAGGGCTGTCCCGGGACACGGCCGGACCCCGGCAGGCAGCAGCTGGCAGCCACGGTCGGTGCTCTCTGGCACTCCACTGGCATCTCCCCGTTCCACTGGGGAGCAGAGCAGCCCCGTGCTGCCCATCACCATTCCCAGTGCCACCGGGAGCCGTGCACGGAGTCGGAGCCGTGCTGGGATGTGGCAGTGCAGTGCCAGCTCCAGTGTCACAGATACAGGGACGAGGGGACAGGCAGGGGCTCGGGGGGCTTGAGCTGGAACCCCAAGAGGGGATGGATGACTCCAGCTGCAGGTCAGACACGGGAGCAGGAGCAGCTCCAAAGGGGTCCCATGTGGAGGACACGACACCCACCAGCCCAAACCCTGCAGTGCAGCACGACCCACATGGACCCTTCCCACCGCAGGATGGCTAAAAATAGCCAGAACCGGCTCCTCGCTGCCACCACGGAGCTAAATATAACCAGCATCGACCGGCCAGTGGGACCGGCAGCCGGGAGAGCGGGAGCTGAGCACGGCCCGGCACCGGGAGCGAGCGAGCGAGGCCTGGGAATCCACACAGGAACAGCCCCCCGAGCACAGGGGGAACGTGGGTGCAGCTGCCGGTGAGCGGGTTGGGGCCGGATCCCCTGGGAACCCCCCGCCCCCGGTGCCGGCGTTCCCTGGGCAGTGGACGCGGTGTGGGGAGCCCGGGGAGCGGGTCCCCCCTGCGTTCGCACCGGCAGCGGCGGCTGCTGCATCACGGAGAGGGATGAATATTTATGGGCGTTTAAAAATAGCTGCTGCATTGTGCTTCCCCCTCACGTGCGGAGCCAGCGGGGTGCGGGGAAGCTGCTAAATTAGATGTCACCGCGCAGGGAGCTGCTCAGTCAGGCAGGAGCGGGATAAAAATAGAGCCTGCTGTGCGTGCGTGGATCTCCTGCAAAGCAGGGCCGGATCCCGTGGGATCCCCCGCCTCTGCACACCGGCATCCCCACACCGTGCCCTGCCACGAGGACACCCCGGAGGAGCCGGGCAGGGACAGGGCTCCTCAGGGTGGCAGCCACACCACCCGTCAGTGGCCCTTCATCTGCTTTACCCATGTGTGTGTGTCCGTCCGGGCCCAAAAGGCTCTGGAAGCAGACACTGCCAAGCCCTGGCTCGGGGAAGTGACCCCGTGCCCTGCCAGCAGCGTGGTGCCAGCGTGTGATGCCCGGCAGTCCCGGCCCTGGCAGCTGGCAGGGTCTCCATGCCCTCGCCGTGCTGAGAGCTGGATGTGCAGCTGGAACCAAGGCCGGATGGACATAGATGGGGTCAGGACATGCAGCTCAGCCTGGGACCCCCCAGGGAGGCCCAGGGGCACCCAGGGAACCCCGATCTCGCTGGGAACCCACCCAGGCCAACACCAAACCCACTGTGCCAAGAGGCTGGGGGGATTGAAGTGTCTGTGCCAGGCCGGGGGCACCGGCTCTGAGTGGCACCGGTAGAGCCACATGTGCAGGGTAGGCAGCCACCACTGCCAGGGCTCAGATTGGGGGCTCAGCCCAGGACCCCAGCGCAGCTCCGGGCAGGGGGTTTGCAGCCCACAGTGGCCACGGCGCTGGCAGAGCCGGCGGGCACACACGGAGCCCTGCACAGATGGCTGCGGCCCCCGGGGGCCGTGCCAGCCCCACGCGACAAGCTCTGATGGTTGTGCAAACAAAAGCGTGGCCAGATGGTCTCCCCCCTCACTCCAGCGCTGGAATCCTGTGCTCGCTCCCAGCCTTGACCTTGGCTGGGTGTCCCGCAGCGCTGCCGGCCTGCACAGCACTGCTGCCGGGATTTTCATGGAGTCATGGAATCAGAGTGGTTTGGGTGGGAAGGGACCTTAAAAAAACCCCATTTGCAGCTCTGGCCATGGGCAGGGACACCTTCCACTAGCCCAGGTTGCTCCAAGCCCCATCCAACCTGGCCTTGGACACTCGCAGGGATGGGGCAGCCATAGCTGCTCCAGCGTGTCTGGGGGAAGCTGCTCCGGTGTCCCTCCACCCTCCGTTTGAGGGTGGCGGGGGGAGTGTTTGCCCACCCTCCCCGGGCACCCAGCCGGGTCTGGGGCTCCACGAGCGGTGCAGCCGCTCCAGCCGCTTTCCCGGCGCCGCTTTCCCGGCGGTTCCCGCGGCGGCCCCGCCTCTGCCGGCGCTGCCGGACTACAGCTCCCGGCGTGCCGGGCGGGGCGGGCCGAGGGGCCGCCGGGAGCGCACCGGGAGCGCAGCGGGAGAGCGGCGGAGCGAGCGCCGGTCCCGCCGAGCCGAGCCGGGCCGGGCCGTGCGGGAGCGGTGAGTGCGGGCCGGGGGCGCGGGCCGGGGGGCTCAGCCCTCCCTGCGGGCCGCGGGGGCCGAGCCCGGCGGCGGGGCCGGGGGAAAATGCCTCGCTTGGGCCCGGCCCGAGAGGAAAACACCCCAAAAGAGAGAAGCGGGTGCTGGGAGGGAGCTGGGACGCGGCGGGGTGGGAGTGGGGGGTCCCCCAGGGCGGGGGTCGCGCTGTGCACAGCCCGGCCGGGAGCGGGTCCTGCCACAGCCCCCCGGGGCACCGGCCCGGCCCGGGGAATCGGGGAGGGAAGAGGAGTCCGGACTCGGAGGAGCCCAGCCTCGGCCTTCCCTGCGGGTCCAAGATTTCCCGTTAAATCCGGGAGAACAGGCTGAGATGGGCAGAGCCCCCGCCCCCGGTCGGGGCGGCTCATCCCTGTCCGCGTCCCCGTGTCCCCCCCCCGGGCTCTGCCAGCCCCGGGACCCCCAGGAGGGACCGGGCAGCGCTGGGGCTCGGACGAGTCCAACGCGGCTCCGGGGCGTTGTGTTCCCAGTCCCACCCAGCAGCCGCCTCCCAGCACAGCCCAGTTCACCAGTGCCCTCCGCTCAAACTCCGATGCCATCAGCAAAGAAGGGTTTAAAGGATTTGTTTGGGAGATGGGGATTGCTGTTGCTGCCAGAGATCGGGATCTGATCCGTGGGATCATCACCACCAGCAGCCTGGGAACACTGGGGAGATAAGACCTGAGCCCTCTTTACCTCTCCAGCCCGGGTGAAGGTCCTGCAGTGGAGTGCTGGGATGGGAGCACGATCCTGCAATCCCTGGGGAAGAGTGACAGCCCTGCCAAGTTATAGGATCGCTTATTTAGAGTGGAAAGGGCCTTTAAGGTCATCAAGTCCAAGTGTTAAGCAAGGGGATGGGAACACATGGTGGTCACACTCCTCTGGGGGCAAAGGTGGTGAAGAAGCTGCCCCTGGACAGGGAGCAGGACACGGGAAAGATGGAGCAGAGGGAGGGCTCAGCTCTGGCATCACGCTGTGCCCTTTGCCACTGGCCACAGCTCTGACTTTTCCCCTCCTTGGATGGCCAGTGTCCAATGTCAGCACAGCCTCGACCTTCACCCTCCGTCTGGTGCAACAGTCAGGCTTTTCTGTCCCAAAAAAGACTGGGAAAGCAGCAGCTGCTCCAGGAAGGAGGGGCTGGAGTCCCTCCCATGGGGGGCTGTGCCTTGTTTTCCTGCAGGTGAACAAATCCTGCTGTGGAAACAGAAAGCAAACATGGGATGAGGGTGGGGGTAGGGAGCTCTGGACAATGCCCTCAGCCCTCAGCCAGGCTTGTGCAATCTGAAATTTGGCAGAACTGGGGCAAGGGCTGCACAGCCCAGGGCAGAGCTGGAAAGATCTGCAGGTGAAACATTTAAGGTGGGGAAGGACAGTTTGGAGACACAGAATTACCCTCATGGAGCACTGAATGTTTGGCATCTCCTTATCTCCTGCAAGAATGAGTTAACCTCTCCTGTGTTCCAGCTTTCGACCCCTCTATTCCTTAATTTGACAAGGAAGGGAAACTGAGGCAGGAGGAGAGGAATTGCTTCACGTACAGCTTCCAAGTCGGGCCCTTCCCACCCCACTGTGGGTCTGCAGCCGCCCTCGTTTGCAGAAGGGACCAAGTCCAGTTTGGTCCTTAGTTTTTGGAAGTTAGACTATTGGTTGGAAATTCCACAGCACAGGCCACGTGCACCTCTGGCTGCAGGAGCTTCTGTGGCCTCGGATAAAGGCATCACTTCAGGAGAGGCTCCTGGAGAGGCCTCCTGGGCAACCAGAGAGGAATCTGAGGTTTTTAACCGTTGATGAAACTAGATTTTAAAGCCTCCATTGAGAGCACAGATCCCTTTTCATGGGCAGTCTCTTCCAGCATCCCTCCTCCCACACATCCATGTCACTCTGAGCCCCAGAGTGGTTCTTCCTGCTGCACAGCTGGAATCCCACAGGCACAGCTGGAATCCCACAGGCACAGCTCTTTGTGGAGAGTCAGACTGTTCCTCACGCCTCTCTCCAGCCTCCTCCAGACTAAACAAACCCGTTTCCTTCCAGCTGTCCTTGCAGGTCATGTTTTTCCTACACCTCTGCTCATTCTCTCTGCTCTCCCTGGATGCTCTCCAGCTCCTCCCAGGACTGGACAGTGTTCTCCCAACATCCAGGAGAACTGTTTCCCGTGTCTGGCACTCAGCACTGCTGTTTACATGTTCCACAGGGTGTTTTGCTTTTCGTTGTTGTTGTAACAATCTGACTCTTTTTGACTCATTTGTGCTTCACCACAACCCCCAGTTTTCCTTCTGAGAGCCCTTGGGAATCGCAGCAGGTTCAGGCTGGAGCTGTTCCCCCTGCCAGGGGTGAAGTGCTGAGCTCTGGCTCCCAGTCTTGCTTCCAGACCACACTTTGGGCTGTTGTCAGGAATATCCTCAGGCCAGTGATCCAGGAGATGGGCAACAAGGAAACGAGCACCCTGCAGAGCTGCAGCCTCTTCCCTAGAAACAAAATCCTTCCCCAGGTATGAGCCTCCTGATAGAGGGAGGTGAGGATCTGCAGCAACGGCTGCCTGTGCAGTTGGAGGAGGTTTGGAAGTTACATGGAGCATCCCAGGAGCTGTGGAGGGGAGGCTGGCTCTGAGCCCCAGCCCTGGGCAGGAGCGAGGCCTGCGCCAGCTCCTGAGACAAGCCAGGCCTGGTGCTCCTGGAGGGAGCTGGGAACAGCTGGCAGTGAGGAGAGTGTGATGTTGGAGCTGGCTCGGGCTCGCCCCTGGAGAGCTGGAGGGAACAGCAACACGGCTTCCAGCTGTGGGAACCAACAGCAGAGCCACGAGGCCAGACGGCAGGAAACGGCCCTCGCCGTGGGGTCCCAGATCCAAGGGGGACAAACCTCATCATCCCATCAAACTCCACTTCCATGGGACACAGAGATGATTTTACACAAGAATTTCCCTGATCTCGGTGTGAAGACTTTCAGCTTTATAGTGGGTTTAGTTTGTGCTGTTCCCTGTAATCCCTGGAAACCAGTAAACCAGAGCTGTCCTGCTCCCAGCTGGCCTGGGAGCTGATGGATACCTGCTGCCACTGGCACTGTCAGTTCAAAAGCCCACTCAATACCTTCACTGTCTGTGGGACACCACTCCAAGGACTTGCTCCAAGAGGGTGACACTCTCTTGCTTCCTCTCCTTCCTGGCATTGTCCAGAAAACCATCTCTGTGCTCCTCCTACATGGCAGCTGTTCTTTCCAGGTAGGGGAAGAGCCACCTCCTCCACAGCTCTTCCTCCTGAAATATCCTCCCAAGGCACTTTGCCCTGTTATCTCTCCCTTTTTACATTCCTCAAGAAGAACCTCATTCCTTCCCTGGGGGGAAATTGTTTTGTTCCTCTTTCTTCCCTCTCTGTAAGTCTTAAATCCAAAGGCAAAACAAGTGAGCCAGAGCAGGAGACCAGCAAACCTCCAGAGCTGTGCAGAACCCTGTTAATTTAGTTAAATTAATTAGGAGATCTGTTGATACAGAGCCTTTCCTCAGCAGATACTGTGTTCTCTCCCCAAGTTTAAGGCCTGCTGGCTCCATAAACACGCAGGAAGCTTCCTGTGCCGCGTGATTAACACCATGATGAGGATTTAAAAGTACTTAAAAGTACTGGTTTGAGTCTTGTCAGGCAAACGTGGGATTGAACCTCAACACCTTGGCTCCAGGAAAACATCTCAAATCACAAGTAGCTTCTGCCACAGACAGGCTTCCCACACATTATTCCCAAATCTGAACCACTCCCGGATTCGGTGACGACGTCAGCTCTGGGAACGGCAGTAGCGAGGGGCAGAGGAGTGAGCTGCCTTGGGATTTTTATAGCACACGGCAGATTTGGGGTTTGCCTGACAACCAGCCACTGCTGAGCGCTTCGGGCCCGAGCTCTGACCTGGGTGTGTGTTGCAGGGGCTCCCGTGGGACACGAGGGCAGGATGAACGTGGGGACGGCGCACAGCGAGGTGAACCCCAACACCCGCGTCATGAACAGCCGCGGCATCTGGCTGTCCTACGTGCTGGGCATCGGGCTGCTGCACGTCGTGCTGCTCAGCATCCCCTTCTTCAGCGTCCCCGTGGTCTGGACCCTCACCAACATCATCCACAACCTGGTAAGGGGGCAGCGTGACCCAGGGCGCGGGGAGCCTCTGGGGGAGCCTCTGAGCAACCCGCTGAGATCCCTCTTGGAACGGGTCCTTTGTCTTTCCAAAGGTGCCGGGGGAGTTGCTCAACCTGCAACCCGGTGCCTCTGGGTCATGGATTTAAATCCAGCCCAGGTACAGGTGAGGCAGCAACACCTGGTGAGGCTGCTCCGAGGGGATTCATTTGCCTCCAGGGCAAGTCCTTCTTTGTGTCCCCAGAGGAGTCTGGGACAGGCCCCAGACACTGCCAAGGTGTCCCTTGGGGTTGTAAAACTTGAATTGGCCTCGTCAGAGTTAAGGAAACAAGATTAAATCCCGGATGTTTTTCTGCTTAAAGTAAAAGGTTAGTCCAGGAACTGATTCCCTTCTCTAAGGATCAGGTCCCCAGACAGGTTCTCACAGGCACAGGGGACAAAACTCTTCACAGATGCAGCAACTGATTCTGTATCCTTAATTTTAAATAACATCTCTGCCTAGGAATATTCCAGAGACAAAAATGACACGGACTGGGAACCATCATGCTAAAGTTATTCCTAGTGGGGGATAAAACCAACCTCAGACTGCCAAACTGGAGCTGCTCTGGTGATAAAACCTCCACAAACCCCCAAACTGGAGCTGCTCAGCACTCAGCTCATGAGCAGCCGGCTCCTCATCCCCCTCCTCTGGCAGCTTTAGGTCCTGGGAACAAAAAAAGGAGTTTAAGTGCCAGGAGTGTCTGTCCTGAGGAGCTGTGATGTAGCCAGACACTGTTTGTCTGTGGCTTGTGTTCCCCTGGTAATCGGGGGGGTGACAGACTCTCTCCCAGCACGTTTTCCGGAGGTTTCTGCCGCGCCGCGGCGGGCGGGTGCTAATCTCCCGATCCCAGAGATCCCAGGGCTGTAATCTTGTCACCACCTCCTTGGCTCACACCCAGGAGCCGAGCGAGAGGCCTCACGTGGAGCAGCCGAGCTGCCCCGGCCTTTCCCGACTCTCCTTCCCCTGCTTCCGTGGCCGCTCCCGGTTTTCCAGCAGCGCCACGTCCCTCTAGTGGAACGGCGCGGGGCTGCAAGCTCCCGAATGCGCTCCCCTGGCCGGGATTTTGGGATGCAGGGCCCCCGCGAGCCTCACGCTGTGTGTCCTGCAGAGCATGTACATCTTCCTGCACACCGTGAAGGGAACCCCCTTCGAGACCCCGGACCAGGGCAAGGCCCGGCTGCTCACGCACTGGGAGCAGATGGATTACGGAGTCCAGTTCACCGCCTCCCGCAAGTTCCTCACCATCATGCCCATCGTCCTGTGAGTATTCCCGGCTGGCCCAGCTGCCTCGTGTCCCAGTACCCACCGGTGTTCTGTCCTGGGACACAGGCACACGGAACGCCACAGCTCAGTTTGCCTCTCTCTCTTTGCTCCCACCCTTCTTTTCCAGGTATTTTCTAACCAGCTTTTACACCAAGTACGACCGGATACACTTCATCATCAACACCATCTCCCTCATGAGCGTCCTGATCCCCAAACTGCCTCAGTTCCATGGAGTCCGGATCTTTGGGATCAACAAGTACTGAGCGGCGTGGCTGGAGCGGACGGCGGAGGAGCGGGGAAAGGGGGAATTCCTTCTCCCCAGCCCTGTTTCCTCTCCCCACGCAGACTGGGATGTGATTTCGGAGTGGCTGTTCAAAGGCAGATCCCAACAGACACATTCCGCATGCTGGATCCTCGTGCCCAATAAATCCAAACCAGCTCCAGAGTAGAGTTTAGTGCGGAGCAGGACACGCGACACCGGATTTCTCTTATCCCAGTGTCACCAGTAGATGCAAAACCACCGAGACTTGGAGGTACAACGAGGATGAATTCTGGGAAGAGTCTCATCTGTCCCAGACATGGAATGACAAGGACAGGGGTGAGGGGAAAAGCTTTTAGTGCTGGTACTATTGCTGTGGTAAATGCACTTTAAAATACCTTTCCCTTCCTGAAGCCGGGTGCTTTGAGCAGTACATGGGGGAAATCCAAAGGGATACAGCCGGACTTTTCCAGGACTGGATTGTTTTGGGGTCTGAGTTCCAGTTTTAGGCAGATCTGAACGACAGATTTTTATTTTGCAGTCTTTGACACCACTGAGAAGGGAAGTTCTTTTCCTAAAAAGAGCACAGGAAGGAACAACCTGCAGTTTGACAAAGCTTCTGCTTTCCTACAGCACCATCCATGTGGTCCAGGGAAAAGGTGGATAGATCCCAAATCATGCTTGTTATTTTCAGTTTATACCCAAATCTGTCCAGGTAACTCTTCTCCCCACCCCACTGCTGGTTTTTAAGCACAGGAGGGCTCAGGGGGCATTTGGATCAAGGGCTGGGGGTGGATGATTTAATGATTGACAACAAATGCCACTGAGCTCTTTGGGACACGGACATGGACATGGAGGGGTGTGGGAGAGGCTCACACTGGACAGGTACAGGCCCAACGAGGTGGAGGCCTGATTGCTCTAATCAAGCACACAGCCATCCTTGACTTTAATTGGAATTTTTCTCCTCAGTCCAGCTCCTTGGTTAAGTCCATGTGACTGGGATTTGCCAGTTCTCCAGTTATCCATGGAGTCGAGGGAAGTGAGGGTTGGATTTCTGGCTTTCCTGGAAGTCTGTCCCTCAGCTCCACACCCCAGGGCTGCGTGAGGAGCAGCAGCAGCAGCAGCTGAATTGACCAGCAGAGGGATTCAGTGGGTCACTGATAAGAGATTATTTCACAGAGGAACAAAATCCAGCCTTTGCCCTCAAATTACCACCTCAAACAGGTTCAGGTTTCCTGGCTGAGGCAGCTTTTTCCTGTTCAAAATAATCCCATTTTCTTTTGGGTTATGTTCCAGGTGGAATGTTTTCCCTCATGCTTCCCCTGAAACCCCATGAAAACCTGTATTTCTGTTGTCTTAATGCTTATATTGTCTCATCTTTCTGACAATGGGATAAAACCTTTTAAATCTGCTATTTTTGTTCCTGCAGTAGCAATTCCAGCTTTAGAGGCCACGGTGGAGAGCGTTGAGTTGTTGGATGGTCTGAGCATAGGACATGGATTGGGGAATTGCAGGTTTGCACCTAAAATCTGTTACTCTGTGCATAATTTTAGGGAAGCTGCTTCACTTCTCTCTCTCAGACTTCCTATGGGACTGCTACGGGGCAGGGAAAACATTCAGTGTACCTCAGAGGGCTGCTGGAATGCAGGGAGAATCACTCCCTCATATGTTTGAAAAGTGGAAATATAAGTGAAAAGGATGTTTTCAAGAAGGTAGAAAGAGAAAAGAGTCTGGCTGGAGACCCCAGGGCGTTGACAGACGTGCAATTTCCCTGATGGGGAGGTTAAACCTTAAATGTAACCCCCAGGACATAAGGACTGCTGCTTTAGTTAAGGTACTCTCTACCCTAATCGGCTCTTTAAGCTACTAGACAATGATAATTGTTATCAAAATAGAGATATTTCATCAATCAGCTTGGAAATGGCACAGGAATGAGCAGTATCCCTGCGGGAATGGCCACTCTGGGGAGCAGGTCCTGGCAGGGTGGCTGAGGCTGTACCCAAAATATTGTGTGGTGCTGAACAGACCCGAGTGTCTGCCCAGGCACAGCTTCCATCTCCAGAGGGAAGAAAATGAATTGTTTTGGTAGAAAAAAAGGGGAGAAACAGCACTTTTTTTGGCAACAGAAAGAGTCTCTAGGTGCTTACAGACACGACTCCTCACAGGCAGACATATGCTGGGTAGTTCTAAGCATATGCACATCACAGAGTGAAGGCAGGTTTGATAATTTTAGAATAATTATAAATTGAAGGGATCAGCTTTTCTTGATGAGATAGAGCAATTCCCACAGCCTCCCTGAAGGCACTGCAACAGCTGAGAGTCTGAGCACTCGTGCCGGTCACTGACACTGAGGACATCTGACTCTGTTTTGTTAAATTAAATATAACTGTGAACCAGAATTGGATTATAAACTGCTCAAACAAGCAGGTTTTAAAGCCCGAAGTCCAAAATTTATAATTAAGGCTTTGCCTAACAGCAGAAGTAAACTTTTCTGACTTCTCTCCTTCACACAAATGATTAAAAACAGCCCACCTAGGAGTTATGTGACAGTGACACTCTTTACAACACAGGCATAATTTTTCCATGGAATAATTGCAGTTAACTTGGACTCAGTTAGTCCAGTCAAGGGAAACATAAGTGGAAACAGGAGGAATATGGAAAGAGGCGAGTTGAAGAAAGATTTCTTGTTATATTAAGTGTCTACATACGATTAATTAAGTATTTGAACAATTACAAACCTGGCAGAATCTTCCTTAAGATCCCAGCTTAAGGGTAGGTGTGAGGATTAATCAAAAATAGAAAAGCAATAAGTTAATTGTAATTAAACCACCATTGTTAGGGGTACCTGAGAGAGTCTGAAGTGAAAGGACAGCATGGGCAGGCTGAGGAGTTGTCAGACGTGTCCTTAGAGGTGACAGATCAGGGATGAAGCCACATTTTAGGTGAAGAACCCAAACATGAGCAGAACTCCTTTTAAAGTGGAGTTTTCCCCAGGTACCTGCGTGGAGGAGATAAGTGACCACTGCTGATTTTAAATGGGATTCTGATCACATTTAAGTGGGATTCTGATCTGATAGATTTCCCTATGAAACTTGTCCTGTATCATAAGCAGGGCAAATCTTACCTGGAGAGATCAAGGCGGGCTCCACCCTGTGATGGAGAAACAATTCCTGGTGAGCAGGTACTTCAACAGCTTTTCTTTTTGGTTCTGCAATGAAAGAGAAAAGCTTTTGAAAGCCTGGGACCCTTCTCAGGAACTGGCAGCAGCCTTGCACTGGGCAAAGCCTCCTAAGCCACTGTCAGCACCACGCACGTATCCACAGGGTACAGCAGTCCCTGCTCCGGGACAGTGGGAAAACCAGCAGGTCCTCCCAGCCTGATGCTCCTGAATTAGGGATCCTGTCTTGGGATTCCTCTAACAGAGCTACCAGGGTGGCAAACAGTGCAAACCTTCGCAGGAAAAAGCCTTTAAAATAAACAAGATTTAGGGCTACTTCATTCCCGAGTACTTTTATTTTTGAATTTTGGGTTGTTTTTAGAAGCTCGGTACTGGCCCTCGAGGAGGGGACAGCAGTGGGTTAACACATTAATATTCCTCATTGTAACTTATGTTGCTTTATCATTGCCTATAATAGCTCTTAAGCATGCGAGTGTTGGTGTATCTGTATCCTCCCTGGATCAGTTTAATGAGCTGAATTAATTGGGAGGGTTTTTTAAAGGAATGTTCTGTACAAAGTTTTAGGGTTTTTTTTCCCAGTAGCCCTTCTTTTTGCTGTGGATACAGGAGTCTCAAGTAGAGAACTTTCTAAAATAAAGTGTGAATATTTTTATTACTCCTTTGTACAGTGTTCTAAGAGAGACTAATAAAGTTAAGTATTCAGGTAAAAACTTGTGTTTTGAGTTTTGGAATTTTCACATGGGTGGGTTTTGCTGTTAAACAAGAATGGCAAATGAAACATGGAATGGTTTGGGTTGGAAGGGACCTCAAAGATCATCCAGTTCCACCCCCTGCCATGGGCAGGGACACCTTCCACTAGTTCAGGTTGCTCCAAGCCCCGTCCAACCTGCCCTTGGACACTTCCAGGGATGGAGTTACAACTTCTATACCTGTAGAAGTTTGAGTTACACACAGCCCCTTTAAGAGACCCTGCTCAATCACTCAGACCTTTCAGAGGAGGAGTTATACAATGGCTATTGTGTGAAAACAAAACATTAGTGAGGAGGAAATTCCTCCAGGGATCTCACATCTGGGAGTGACTTGGGATAAGCTGCAGTGACCAGCAAGGAATCCTCCTGCACAGACTGGGTCTAACTGTGCTTCTGCCCCAGGGGTTGCTTCAGGGAGACCCCCCCTCTTAGCAAGGTAAGGGAAATCAGTTTAATCTTTGAGTGTGTGCTGCTTTCAGCTTCCTGTGGTAACTCACAGCTCCCTCATATAGCAAATGCTTCCGGCCCTCTGAGCAGAAGGGAAGCCAGAGATCTCCTCCCCAGTCCTGCTGCTCTGCAGGGCTCACATCCCCTCAGAGCCCCCAGGCTCTCGATCCACAGGAGGCATCCACCAAACAGGCAAGTGCCTTATTCCAGAGCTTGGGCTGGGGCAGAGCCTTGGGGGAAGCTGCCTGCTAAGTGCTCTTCTTTAGCTTTTCTCCCTTCTTGAAGACTTCCAAGGCAATGAGCCCTGCAAGTGCTACTAAAATTGGGCACACAAGCCTATTTGTCTTGGCAATGGATTTAACCTGAGAGACAGTAGGGTTAGATGGGGCATTGGGAAGAAATTCCTCCCTGGGAGCCAGGTGAGGCCCTGGCACAGGTTGC